AGGGTCCCTCACCATGTGGGGAGGTGCCTGATACTGGCAGAGGTGCCTGATACTGGCAGAGGGTCCCTCACCATGTAGGGAGGTGCCTGATACTGGCAGAGGGTCCCTCACCATGTAGGGAGGTGCCTGATACTGGCAGAGGGTCCCTCACCATGTGGGGAGGGGCCTGATACTGGCAGAGGCGTCCCTCACCATATAGGGAGGTGCCTGATACTGGCAGAGGGTCCCTCACCATGTAGGGAGGGGCCTGATACTGGCAGAGGGTCCCTCACCATGTAGGGAGGTGCCTGATACTGGCAGAGGCGTCCCTCACCATGTAGGGAGGTGCCTGATACTGGCAGAGGCGTCCCTCACCATGTAGGGAGGTGCCTGATACTGGCAGAGGGTCCCTCACCATGTAGGGAGGTGCCTGATACTGGCAGAGGCGTCCCTCACCATGTAGGGAGGTGCCTGATACTGGCAGAGGGTCCCTCACCATGTAGGGAGGTGCCTGATATTGGCAGAGGCGTCCCTCACCATGTAGGGAGGTGCCTGATACTGGCAGAGGGTCCCTCACCATGTAGGGAGGTGCCTGATACTGGCAGAGGCGTCCCTCACCATGTAGGGAGGTGCCTGATACTGGCAGAGGCGTCCCTCACCATGTAGGGAGGTGCCTGATACTGGCAGAGGGTCCTTCACCATGTAGGGAGGTGCCTGATACTGGCAGAGGTGCCTGATACTGGCAGAGGTGCCTGATACTGACAGAGGGTCCCTCACCATGTAGGGAGGTGCCTGATACTGGCAGAGGTGCCTGATACTGACAGAGGGTCCCTCACCATGTAGGGAGGTGCCTGATACTGACAGAGGGTCCCTCACCATGTAGGGAGGGGCCCGATACTGGCAGAGGGTCCCTCACCATGTAGGGAGGTGCCTGATACTGGCAGAGGGTCCCTCACCATGTAGGGAGGGGCCTGATACTGGCAGAGGCGTCCCTCACCATGTAGGGAGGTGCCTGATACTGGCAGAGGCGTCCCTCACCATGTAGGGAGGTGCCTGATACTGGCAGAGGCGTCCCTCACCATGTAGGGAGGTGCCTGATACTGGCAGAGGTGCCTGATACTGGCAGAGGTGCCTGATACTGGTAGAGGGTCCCTCACCATGTAGGGAGGGGCCTGATACTGGCAGAGGGTCCCTCACCATGTAGGGAGGTGCCTGATACTGGCAGAGGTGCCTGATACTGGCAGAGGTGCCTGATACTGGCAGAGGGTCCCTCACCATGTAGGGAGGTGCCTGATACTGGCAGAGGGTCCCTCACCATGTAGGGAGGTGCCTGATACTGGCAGAGGTGCCTGATACTGGCAGAGGCGTCCCTCACCATGTAGGTGGGTGCCTGATACTGACAGAGGGTCCCTCACCATGTAGGGAGGTGCCTGATACTGGCAGAGGCGTCCCTCACCATGTAGGGAGGTGCCTGATACTGGCAGAGGGTCCCTCACCATGTAGGGAGGTGCCTGATACTGGCAGAGGCGTCCCTCACCATGTAGGGAGGTGCCTGATACTGGCAGAGGGTCCCTCACCATGTAGGGAGGTGCCTGATACTGGCAGAGGGTCCCTCACCATGTAGGGAGGTGCCTGATACTGGCAGAGGTGCCTGATACTGGCAGAGGCGTCCCTCACCATGTAGGGAGGTGCCTGATACTGGCAGAGGGTCCCTCACCATGTAGGGAGGTGCCTGATACTGGCAGAGGTGCCTGATACTGGCAGAGGCGTCCCTCACCATGTAGGGAGGGGCCTGATACTGGCAGAGGGTCCCTCACCATGTAGGGAGGGGCCTGATACTGGCAGAGGCGTCCCTCACCATGTGGGGAGGTGCCTGATACTGGCAGAGGGTCCCTCACCATGTAGGGAGGGGCCTGATACTGGCAGAGGCGTCCCTCACCATGTGGGGAGGTGCCTGATACTGGCAGAGGCGTCACTCACCATGTGGGGAGGTGCCTGATACTGGCAGAGGCGTCCCTCACCATGTGGGGAGGTGCCTGATACTGGCAGAGGGTCCCTCACCATGTAGGGAGGTGCCTGATACTGGCAGAGGCGTCACTCACCATGTGGGGAGGTGCCTGATACTGGCAGAGGCGTCCCTCACCATGTGGGGAGGTGCCTGATACTGGCAGAGGCGTCCCTCACCATGTGGGGAGGTGCCTGATACTGGCAGAGGCGTCACTCCCCATGTAGGGAGGTGCCTGATACTGGCAGAGGTGCCTGATACTGGCAGAGGTGCCTGATACTGGCAGAGGGTCCCTCACCATGTAGGGAGGGGCCTGATACTGGCAGAGGGTCCCTCACCATGTAGGGAGGGGCCTGATACTGGCAGAGGGTCCCTCACCATGTAGGGAGGTGCCTGATACTGGCAGAGGTGCCTGATACTGGCAGAGGGTCCCTCACCATGTAGGGAGGTGCCTGATACTGGCAGAGGTGCCTGATACTGGCAGAGGTGCCTGATACTGGCAGAGGTGCCTGATACTGGCAGAGGTGCCTGATACTGGCAGAGGGTCCCTCACCATGTAGGGAGGGGCCTG